TACAAGTATATATTTGCAACCTATAAAAAGAAACAATCAGATTTCGCTACTTGCTGAATTCCGATTGGTTCATTAATAGTCACAATGACTATTAGTGACTTTAGGCACAAAAATTAAAGCAACAGTACCGTTGCGCTAGACACAGCGTTTAGTTAAATTACAAAACATCATATTATTATTTAATTCCAATTTTTTTTTTTTTCTTCTTACTTTTTAATTTTATCGATAAAACTTTAAAGGTTGACAGTTCTTACGGGGTGTGGGTGGGGCGGTGAGGAAGGAGTGATTTTAAAAACAAATTACCCCCTCCTAAACCGGGGGACGAGCTTGACGTGTTACAAGGGCCCAAAAATTTTTTTTTTGGGGGGGGGCATACCAACTGCCTGGCACAGCACTGGTTAGTGGTACCAGATGGGTTGCGCATATGGTAAATGCGTTGGAGAATCTTCTCAATGGTCTAAAAGCGCATATTCATAGTTATACCACTATCAGTTTGGAAAACGACTACAGCGCAACAAAGAAATCAAAGGCTTCTTTGCAAAAAAATTGGTTGATCAGCACTTAATGTCGATGGCGATCTATATTCTTGATGTGTGTAGAGCAATGACAATTTTTTCAGTGACATTAGTAAGGTTTTTTCAGAGTATTAATTCACCACAAACAAAAGTTATAAGCTTTATAAATAAACAACAAAAAAAGTATATATAATTAGGTAATATGTGAGTTTATTGTAATATATACTAATATTATTGTTATTAAACCTTTTAGAAATATAAACTTTGCGATAATTAACATTCAATAATCAAAGTAAAATTTTTACAAAAGATAAAAACTTCGTTATAAATAGATTTTGTCGCGCTCTTTTTTGAACTATTTAATTAGAAGTCTATTAAAATTTTCTTGAAAGAACAAATTCATTCGAATTTTATAATTATATTTTATTGCTCTCATACTTAGAGTTTTTTCAGAATTAGAAACTTTTTCTAAATTAATATTTCCTAAACGTTTATTGATTAAAATTTAATTTTTCAAAATAAAATATAAAAATTAATATTATTTGTATATTGATAAAATACATAATTTGTCTCTGTAAATTATATATTGAATTAACTACTAAATTCAAATATTTAATTACATATATAACTTAACTATATAGTATTTAATAAAAATACACTATTGCTTTTCAAATTAAAACGTCAATGTAACAATTAATAAATTGTTTATTTAGAAATTTAAGAATATACCAATAATAATATTGTTTATGTTTTTATTACGTATGAAAAATCATTTCCACCGCTATCTTGGTCACAAATAGCGACTAATATTAAACCAGATATATTCGCTAATCTTTTTTCTCCGATTGATTTTTTATTTTGCTATAGCTTAAGTTCGGCAGACGCGCAAAAAGGCTTTAGCGCAATAAAAAAAAAAAAAATCAGTTCAAAGAACACGAGTCAGTAACAAGTTATTAACAATGCGATTGTGCATCAAGATTGATGGTCCAGAAATGGAATTATGCGATCCAACAAAAGCCATTAAACACTGGCTTTTAAAGCCATCACGAAAAAATAAAAATAAAACTAGCATCAATCAAAAAAGCATTACATGGATAACAAAACTCCAGTTGTGTCAGTTAAAAAGTCAAAGAAAATACAGATTTTTGCTAGTAGCGATGATGATAGTGATAGAGCTGTAACAATTGATGACGATATATAATAATTTTGAATCTTGAATGTTTTTTACCTTTCAAAATTAAAATAGTTTTTCTTGTAACAAATAAGATCGTAATAATTACAACACATTAAAAAGGGTTTGAAAGTATTTGTACATTGTTTTTTATATTTGTCAACAGTTTTTTGTTGTAAACGAACGTCTATTTTTTTATAAAATGGGTGCTCAAATAAAGTTTAAAAATATAATGGCATGTGTTTTTTTTTTGAAATTAGAAAAGTGAATTTTATCAATAGTTTTCAATATTACTTTTATTTGCGGATATTGTTTCTAGTGTACATTTAGCCATATAACAAAAAATGACTAAAACATGCGAGAACTTCGCTAAGTGGAAATTTTTTTTAAAAAATGGCAATGGGCGACTCAAAACGTCGGCGGGCGACCAAAATTAACAAACTGGTTAGTTTCAGTCGCCCTTCTGGCGACTGACCAAAAGTCGGAGTGTACACCCCTGTATATATATATATATATATATATATATATATATATATATATATATATATATATATATATATATATATATATATACACATTATACAATATATGATATAATCTGGAACAAGTCTAAAAATAAATGTCTCAGTTTAAAAATGTAAATATTTAAAATATATATATAATATTTTCCGAAGGTTCAAAGTCTTTTTACTTTAAACTAAAATTACCAGCTTAGCATTTATTTTTTATAATAGCAAGTTAAAAGTAACTGGCGTTACTTTTTTATTTTTGCTTTTCGTCTTTCCGTAATATCTTTCCGTAATTATGCGGTAGTGGTGTAGTGGTAGAGCGCTTGCTTCATAAACGAGTGGTTCCGAGTTTGATCCCCACCACGTCCCTGGTAGTACCGCGCTCAACTCGTTTCTCCGCGCAGCGGCCTTGTTCGTCAAGGTTCGTGTTTCGGAGTTATAGAGTTGAGAGAGGGTTATAGCCACAAATAAGTAGCCTCCTCGTCTGTAGTGGCCTTCTCGGCCTTGAGGAGGTGAATTAAAATTAAAAAAAAAAAAAAAAAAAAATCTGTTAACCAATCAGATGCCCTACAACAAACAAGCATATCAATAAGCTCATGATAATCTTTTGATAATTTAACTGCGCTAATCATTAACTTAACATTTTGATGGTAGGTGCACACACATACTGTATGCATACCAGATGCTCCAACTGTAATGCACCATTTTGGACAATGTGAGCAAAAGTTAGAAAAACAGCTTTTTATATCTGGATAACAGGTTTTAAACTTTGCATATAGCTCTTTTAGATTTGAAAGAATCAAACCCTTTTGCATTTGAGATCTTTTTTACCAGACATTAGCCTGCTATTTTTATCATTACAATAAAATTCAATAATTTTATCTACTGTTTCTTGAGGTATTTCCTTTCTTTTTTTTTCTTCAGTAAAAGATAAAATACCATTTTTCTGCAGCAATTTGCGCGATATCTGCACCATATAATTAGTAACATTAAATTCTTTTTCTATATCTTTGTGAGACCAAGAAATTGAAACCAGTCTTAATAATTAAATTTTCTGATTACGATTGGAAATTAACATTTTTTCTTTGATTTTACTAATAAGTATATTCATGTCATTTGCTTTACCTTTAAATTCCTTAAATACTTTATTGAAGGAATCTTCTTTACTTAACTGTTCAGGATCTATATTTAAAGTCCTTGCAATACCTAAGTTAGCTGTTTTTTGAACATGTAACCATTTTTTTTTACCAAGAGCAACTCTTGAGTGACTATTTACAGCATGCATTTTGAGAGGACTTATGTTTATAGTCGTCAAAGAAGAATTAAGATTTTTTTTTAACAATTCATATATATTAAGTTCATTATCTTCATCTTCATAAATCTGGATACAAGTTGGTTCTCTTTGCTCATCATCCTTAAATGATATCAATTAAATCATACATGAGGGACATATCTTTTTTCTAGGAATAACATTAATACCAATATTTTTTAATTTCCCAGCAAGTTACATATCAATTTCTTTACATCCTCCTAAAAACGTGAGTGATAATTACTGCTTCAATGAGTATTTTGCAAAAATATATATAATTTATAAATAATTACAATAAAGTTGTAAAAAAGTTTCATGGTTAAGTAATAATACCTTTTCTTCTTTTTCTATTGTGTGAATTAGATGGATCACAGCAAGTTATGTGATCAAATGTGGAGTAACATTTTAAAGAAACATATTCATGGTGTAGGCAAACCGTTGCATTTTCATCAAATTGAATGCCAGAACGACTAATTATCAAGTCTTTTTCCACATCATTAAGAATTGAAACTTTCTTGATATCATGGGATTTTACATATGTTTGTTTGTTACAAATTTCTTTATTTATTATTCTAATTAAACATCTTTCTTTATCATTCATATTGTTATATTATTTTTTAGTTCTGTAAGCAACAATTTTAAAATAATTATTGTTTGAAGATTTAAAAATAGAAAATCCTTTAGCTATTAAACATAATGATTGCATAAAATAAAGATCTTTTATGTGAAATGCAAACAAGTTTATATATTAGAACTGTACCTTATACAGCAAGATTCTAAAAATCTTTTTAAAAAATGCAAAATATTTATGCAAATTATTTTTTTTCATTATTAAATAACAGTTTTTCTTAATTTTTTAAATAAAACTTTAAATGCAAATAAATCTAATTTAAAAAAGAAAACCCTTCCAGATTTTTTGTATTATGGAGTTTGATACATATAGAACATTAGGAAAAAATTTCAGAATTTTATCTTTTAGGCATCTTAAACATTTTTTTGTACAGGGCATCAAAAAACTTACAAAAAGTGTTGCACCATTTTAAAATTAAATTTCTATATAGAAGCTTGAGTTTTTGTGTGTTTTAGCCATCATTTTTAAGTTCCTCACCCTAAAAAATAGTTAGGTAGAAGTTTTGACCACTATTAAACAAGTATTTCATAAGTTAAAGCTAATTGTGTCGTGCAATGAGCCTAAAAAATAAATGGCGCTGAAAAAAAAAGTCTCAAAAGAGATTGGGACCAAGTATCAATATCTCTGGAACCGTAATGAGTCAGACATTAAATTTGGAGTGAAGTTTTCTTTTATTAATTCAAGCTTGTATTCCAAAAATCAGCAAAATCTGATTTTTGGAATACAAGCTTGAATTAATAAAAGAGATGGCATGGTGCCGAGCATAAATTGAATTGAGCTGGAATGACCCAGCTGCTATTTGTTAGAATTCTTTTTTTCTATTTTTTTTTTTTTTAATCATTATTTTTCAGATGTTTTTTTTTAGATTTAGAAATTTTAAAATGTTTATCTGCTGAACAAAAGAAAGTTTTAGATATTGTCAAAAGTGGCAGGTAGATATAGTTCTTTGATTTTTTTTTTTTTAATAAAAGTACTATAATAATTTATCCTATATTTTTTATTTTTAACTCTTTTTAAACCAAGATTGAGATCTTTAAACGTCATACTCTTGTTAAAAGTCATTTTCTTGTTATATGATATGTTTATAATATGTAAGTTGATTTCAATAAAAAGGCAGCATATAACTATTTTATAATATATTTTGATGTAGTAATATGTTAATATATTTTGATGTAGTAATATGTTAATGACCTTTTGTGTCCAGCGTCATCAGGCAATTTGCCTGATATTACATATTTTATATATTTTTATAAAAAAAAAAAAAAAATATTACCTATTTTATATATTTATATATATATATATATATATATATTCATATACGTATATATATATATATATATATATATATATATATATATATATATATATATATATATATATATATATATATATATATGTGTGTGTGTGTGTATATATATATTTATATATATATATATATATATATATATTCATATACGTATATATATATGTATATGTGTATATATATATATATATATATATATATATATATATACATATATAATATCATTTTTCAGTCGTGTTTCAGTTATGCCAATGATGCAAAATTCAAAACTTTTAATGATAATGTTTAACCCTTCAAAGTATATTTATAACAAAGATACATTTAGATAAAAAATAAAGAGTTTATTTTGATATTCTTTGTTAAATTTAAAACTACTTTTATCTTAATTATGATTAATAAATTTATGTTGCTTGGTTTTCTTTGCAGGTGTGCAATGATGGGTATCTTATCCCCTCTATATTCTATAACTGTTTTTACAGAGTTTTAAAGAAGAAGTCTGATTTTTCGTTATCTCTTCTTTTTTTAACTTAAAAGCAGACCTACCTGATGCTAAACACAAGCTTCACACAGAATAAAGTTTTCTTTTAGTAATAAGTATTTGATAAGCTTGGTTCTTATCTATTGGTCTACAGAATTTTAACTTTTCTCTTTCTTTAGGTTCTATAATTCATTTTTACAAGACAAACTCCAGCTAAATGTGATAAAACTAATGACTTTCTTTCTTTTCTTTTTTTTTTTTTTTTTTTTTTAATTATTCACCTCCCCAAGGCCCGAGGGGGCCACTACAGTCGAGGAGGCTACTCATTTTTTTTTTTTTGTTGTTGTTGTTGTAAATCGTGGTACAACCCTCTCTCAACTCTTTAACTTCAAAACACGAACCATGACAAGCTAGACCGCTGCATGGAGAATGATTTTAAAAAGACTAATTCTTTTGAATCAGTGCTTTGAAGCACGAGGAGAAAGTTACTACTTTTTATGATTTAAAAAAGCAATATAAACTTATCATTTTACCTTCTTATTATTTTCTTTTTAGTTTTTTTATTGTGTTAATTTTTGGAAGCAAAAGCAATATGTCTATTGGTTTAATTTAATTTTTATAAAATCTGTTTCACAGGGAGTTGTATTTGTAATAATTTGTTAAATTAATTATTCATATGCGTGTTACTTTTTAGGAATGTGTTTATAACCGGATCTGCAGGTGTTGGAAAGTCTTTTCTTCTAAATGAATTGATCAAGTCACAAACAAAGAAAGGTGTTTATGTTACAGCGAGTACTGGTGTTGCAGCATGTAATATTAATGGTACTACCTTACACAGGTAATTTAAAATAGTAAAACTACCTCTATGTATATATATATATATATATGTATATATATATATATATATATATATATATATATATATATATATATATATATATATATATATATATATATATATATATATATATATATATATATATATATGTAGTAGGCAAATAAATCAGTGGCACAAGCAATATTTAAAGTTTTTTCTTTGTAACTTATCTGTTTACTCATGTTATTTAAAAACTGTAAAATGTATAAACCAATGATTATTGTTTTTAAAAACATTTAAAGCACACAAGTGTTATATTGGAAGCAAAATGTAGTGTGTAGTGGTAGAGGTGTAGTGGTAGAGCGCTCGTTTCATAAACGAGTGGTTCTGAGTTCGATCCCCACCACGTCCCTGGTAGTACCGCGCTTAACTCGTTTCTCCGCGCAGCGGCCTTGTTCGTCAAGGTTCGTGTTTCGGAGTTATAGAGTTGAGAGAGGGTTATAGCCACAAATAAGTAGCCTCCTCGTCTGTAGTGGCCTTCTCGGCCTTGAGGAGGTGAATTAAAATAAAAAAAAAATAATTATTGGCACAAAAATTTTCTTTAGTATTTTTTTTAAATTTTGTGGGAAAAAAATAAAATTTTGGTAAGTCTAAAATTATATTTACATATGAAACACATAAGTTATTTGCATATGTAACACATAAGATATATATGTAACCCATGAGTTTTGATTAATTGAATAAAATTGATTAATTTATAGCAACATCTGCGTTGTAAAACAACATTGGTCAATTTCTTAAAGAAACGTTGGTCAATTTCTTAAAGAAAAATGAAAATTTGGATTCGGTCAACATTGGTCAATTTCTTAAAGAAAAAAGAAAATTTGGATTCGGTAAATAATATTTTTAACACCTTTTCAATCACTCAACAATATTGTAAACAAGTATAATTTGAATGGGCCTACAACTGATATAGCAGGAAGATGCTGTAAAAGAAAAACATCTGCTGCCATTGATAGAAACATTGTTTTACAAGTCAAGCAAAACAGATTTGAAGCTGCTCAAAAAGAAAAAGAAAAACCAAGAGGAAGGATTTCATGGTAGAGTATATGGCAAAAAACCCTATTTGACTCCAAATTTAATTTGATCTCATCGGATGGACAGTAAAAAGTTAGCATAAACAAGACAAGACATTAAAGTTGAGTTGCAAGAGAGGAACAGTAAAACACGACGATAGAAATGTTATGGTGGGCCATTGAATGTCATTGATGTCATTGATGTCTTTTGATGTCTTTAAATGTGTTTCAATGTGCTTAAGGATCTCTTTGCAATTGCTACACTAATAGGTGTATATTTTATAAAAATTTTAAATAAAAATTTAAGTAAAAATTTAATTTAAAATTTAAATCAAAATTTAAATAAAAGTTTAAATAAAATTTAAATAAAATTTTAAATAAAAGTTTAAATAAAATTTTAAATAAAAATTTAATTAAAAATTTAAATAAAAATTTAAATAAAATTTAAATAAAATTTAAATAAAATTTAAATAAAATTTAAATAAAAATTTAAATAAAATTTAAATAAAAATTTAAATAAAATTTAATCAAAAATTTAAATAAAATTTAAATAAAAATTTAAATAAAATTTTAAATAAAATTTTAAATAAAATTTTAAATAAAATTTTAAATAAAATTTAGATAAAAAAGTTTTAATAAAATTTAACACACGAAAAAGTAAAGTTTTGGAAATAACTACCTAAAATACAAATACAAAATTGATAAAGTTATACTAGAGGAAGTAAAAATTTCCCTTTATGTATATCTAAAATATACATAAGCACTGCTATTATATATTTAAATGAGCAACTTATATCATAATATGTTATTGTGGACACGGGTAAAATGCAGAAATTTTCAATGTGTTAAATACTGGAAAAAAGTGTTGAAAATTTCTTTTAACCCTAATCTTATCACTGTCCCAACCAAAACACTTAGTTGTAGATTCAATCTTCTAATTTGTTTGCAGTATTAAAGATGTCTCAAGCCTATTATATTGCTTTGCCTTGAATAGATTTAACCAAGGTTTTATCAGTTTTTAAATAAGAAGCCCAAATAGACTGTATATTTATGGTGTGGTCTAATAAACACTTTATACAACTTGAAAGCTATTTTTTCATCAATGAAAGTAAATGTCTTTTTTTATACGAAAAATTGGTAAGGATTTTGAAACAACTGTTCAAAAATATATGCTCCACTTAGCGTTAGACGAAATAATTACTCCTAAATAACGCATTTTAGAAGAGCTTTTTAAAGACTGGTTTATTATACATTTTTATTTTGTTTCCCATTTATTCCAAATTATCTTAATTTTAACATAAGTCTGTTTTGAGGTAGAAAATCAATGCTTTGGTGAAATCGAGATTACATTAATAAACTGGTGAAATGTTATAGAAGATGAAACAGTATCAAAAGTTTTTATTAGATTATTCACACATAATTTATGGTGAAGAAAACCATGTTGATTTGCAGAGAGCATTTTATTATTTTTAATGTGCTTAAAGGTTTTGTTCTTAAAAAGTATTTTGACTATTTTGCAGACAACAGAATTTAGAACTTAAATTTGCTAATTTCTAGAGAGTGAGTATTCCAGAATTTAAGAATTTATAAAAGATTTTTGTAAATGGAAAAAATATTTATAGGGGTTTAGATTGGTAAGTTTATAATGTCTGAAATAGAAAAACCCAAGTTGTCATTATAAGTTCATTCAGGTTAGTATCACTTTTTTAAGATGGAAATTATTTTAGCAATAAAAGTTGATATTGAATCGTAATCACCTTTGCTCTTACTAAATAACTGAGATTCACTTTCAGGAAACAGTTTTGAAACTAAAATTTCTCAAGTGGTATAGTGCCCCTTAATATTATTACCTAATATAGCATTAGAAAATAGTTTAAAAAAATAATACTGCTGTAGATAAATAACAACATATGGTTTGAACATCCATAGGGTGTCTGGATGTAGGAAATGTGATATGTTAAAATTACTCACAATGAAGCAGCCATCATAAGGCTTCCTAAGTAAGCTATAAGGTAATTTGAAGGACTCAGTGATATATTATATTAAATTAGCATTATTTGGTCTATGTTTAATATAGATAAGTATTTGTTAAAATTACTCACAGTGAAGCAGCCATCATAAGGCTTTCTAAGTAAGCTATAAGGTAATTTGAAGGATTCAGTGATATATTATATTAAATTAGCATTATTTGGTCTATGTTTAACATAGATAAGTATATGTTAACTATTACAGATACCAAAACTTGTTTGAGAAAAGTTTTACAGAACTAATTAACTTCATGAGAGATAAATACATCAGTAATGAAGATAGCTCCACTGCTACCTTGACGTCCATCTTTGCAATCTTTTTTTGTGTGAATTATTGTTTGTGAATTATTGTTTTAATACAATAGCTTCATTATTGTACTTTGCTTTAACATCATACTTACCACTTAACTAAATTGTATATTTATGAGTTAATACAGTTTGTTTTAATTTTTTAGATATAAATAGATAAAAAGCTCTTTTATCACTACTTAAAGTATTAGTCAAGGTTATTATTATTATTATTGCTAAAAAAATAGTCTGAAAAAGAGTTTGTAGTTCTTAGCTATAAAATAATAGCAAAAATTGCTAATGTTGCTATGTTTATACACATGCATATTATTATTAGGAATGAGAACTTTAAAAAAAAAAAAAATGAAAAATTTGGATTGGGCACCTAATAACTCTAAGCCCTCCCATGGCTGCGGGCCCTTTGCTACGCTACATATATATATATATATATATATATATATATATATATATATATATATATATATATATATATATATATATATATATATATATATATATATATATATATATATATATTGTAGATAATTCAAGAAATCAATTAATTGTAAATTGTTGAACATGTTTCTTGTTTAGCTTTGCCGGTATTGGTCTAGGAAATAAACCAGCTTCAATATTAGCATTTGATATTTTGAAAAAACCTTATAAAGTTGAAGCTAAAAAACGCTGGTTGGGTTGCAGGTATGTTATTGTTTTAATCTTGAAGAATTTTTTTTTTGCAAGTTACAATGCAGTTTACTGACCACAGCTAGTTTCTTACCGCAGCTCATTTCTAGGTCATAGCTGACTTCTTGAGCACATCTGGTTTCTTGAACACAGCTGGTTTTTATACCATAGCCAGTTTCTTTTAATGCATATTAAATATATTAAAATAGATTTGTTTTTAAAATAGGATATTAGTTATTGATGAAATTTCTATGATTGATGCTGGTTTGTTTTCAACAGTTGAGGAAGTTGCTAGAATTGTCCGAAATAATGATTCTCCTTTTGGCGGCATTCAAGTTATTCTGTGTGGGTGAGTTTTTCATTTCTGTTGTAAAATGTTTGCTTTTTTGTTTGTTTCAAGCCTAATAATTTTGGAGTTTATAGAGATTTTCTTCAGCTTCCTCCTGTAAATGTTAAAAAGTTTGCATTTGAAACTCAAGCTTGGAGAGATGTTGTACATGAAACAGTTGTTCTCAAAAAAGTTTTTAGACAGAAACTTGTTGGTTTTGTTTCATTGCTTAATAGACTTCGTATTGGTTATCTAACCCCTCTGGATATTGAAGTATTAAAACATTGCAAAGGCACAGCTTTTCCAGATGATGGTATTAAAGCAACATGCTTATTTCCACATAAAGCATCATGTGACAAATTGAATCAAGCAGAGGTAAAGTTATTTATTTAATCTTACAGTAATTGATGATTTTTAAAATTTTTCTTTCTTATTGATTATTAAAGATATTGGTTATTGGATTTTTCCTAACGTAGTATAATAGTCATTGTTATTCCATAATTTATTCGTTATTATACGTTATTATATTTATTATCATTCCACACATTCCACAATTTATTCGTTATTATACATTATTATATTCATCAAGAGCCTTGCCATCTTTTAAAGGCTTATATTTTCAATTTCTTTTTCTTTTTAACTTGAAGTGTTAGTCAGATAATGGTTTTTGTATCTTGCTTACTACAGATAATGTAAGGGTTTTGTATCTTGCTTACTACAGATAATGTAAGGGTTTTGTATCTTGCTTACTACAGATAATGTAAGGGTTTTGTATCTTGCTTACTACAGATAATGTAAGGGTTTTGTATCTTGCTTACTCTTTAAACTTTTCCTCTTACTCTCTCTAACTTAACTCTTCTAATCTAACTCTTCTTAACTAAACAAATTGATGTTTGGCTTGAAAACATCAATTTTTCTGAAAATGCTGTTGAATTAAAATCTGCACTTTAAAACTCTATTGTTCAAAATGTATTCAGACAGTGTTGACCTAGTTATGCTAGATAGGGTTTTATTTGGAAAAAAAAAGAAAAAAATGAAAGTATGTGTTAGTAATGTTTAATAGTAATATTTAATTTATTGCTGTAGCAATTACAATTTTTTTAAGTATACTAAAATATTTGAAAATAAATTATGATATGTGATGCAAGCATCATGTTATAGACAGCCCACACATTTTAAAACACAAGTTATCAAAAATATTTTCATCTTAGAAAACCTGTCATGCCTGATTAGACAAAAACTTCATAACAAGCAAAGAAATTTCTTTACTTTAAATTGGTTCTCTTGTATCTTGTATACTTGCATCTTTGATACTTGCATCTTGTATACTTGTATCTTGTATACTTGTATCTTGTATACTTGTATCTTGGATACTTATATCTTGGATACTTGTATCTTGGATACTTGTATCTTGTATACTTGTATCTTGTATAATTGTATCTTGGATACTTGTATCTTGGATACTTGTATCATGGATATTTGTATCTTGGATACTTGTATCTTGTAAACTTGTATCTTGTAAACTTGTATCTTGTATACTTGTATCTTGGATACTTATATCTTGTATACTTGTATCTTGGATACTTGTATCTTGGATACTTGTATCTTGTATACTTGTATCTTGGATACTTGTATCTTGGATATCTGTATCTATATCTTGTATACTTGTATCTTGTATACTTGTATCTTGGATACCTGTATCTTGTATACTTGTATCTTGTATACTTGTATCTTGTATACTTGTATCTTGTATACTTGTATCTTGTATACTTGTATCTTGTATACTTGTATCTTGTATACTTGTATCTTGGATACTTGTATCTTGGATACTTGTATCTTGGATACTTGTATCTTTGATACTTGTATCTTGGATACTTGTATCTTGGATACTTGTAATACTGTGACAGTTATTGTCATCAATAGCAATATTACTTTGTTTACATTTGAAAAATCACACTCCATAAAACTTTTTTTTTGTATATATTTTTTTCTGTTTAAATATTGCTACAGCACCAAAATATATAAATAAATATTTACATAGCCGGAGAAAAAAGAAGATTTATCACTTGTCTTATCACTAAGACTTATTAGTCTTATCACTTATTAGTGATATTTTTTACATGCATAATATATGCATGTATACTTGTATCTTGGATACTTGTATCTTGGATACGTTTCTTCTCTTTAAATTTGAAAAGAGTTTTAAAATTGCATTTTCTTTCATTTCCAAATGTTGCATTTTGAATCACGTGAATGGGCAGTTCAAAATTGCATTTTCTTTCATTTCCAAATGTTGCATTTTGAATCACATGAATGGGCAGTTTAATCATTAATCATAACACTGAATCTCTTTTGTTTTTATTAGTAAAATTATTAAATTTATTTTAACTTTTGTCAAACAAAATTAACAAAATAAAAAAATATTAATAAGTTGCAGGTGATCATTATTACAATGCAATTAATGATGCACATGGAAATTCTTTTTTTTTTTTTTTTCTAAATTCTTTTAGTATAATGAAAAATGTTTAAAACATTAAAAACATAGTGTTTTAAAGATTCATTAACATTGTTTAAAACATTAAAAACATAATGTTTTGAACATTCAACTAAATTAAATTTGATTGAAGGTTGAGAGAGAATAATTGAATATTACTCTATATTCAAAATGTTTCTTTGCAGTTTTGGCTTTCAACTTTTTTGCTTCATGTAATAAAACCTTGGTTAAGATTGACAAAAAGAAACGAAACTATACAGAAAAATAATACAAAAAAACAAAACGATATAAAAAAAACAACACAACTTTAATTAACTTAATAATAAAATTTACTTTCAAATTCAACCGTTTCTTATTAGACGTTTTTTAGTCGTCAGACTTTTTTTTTTTTTTCAGTTTTTTCACCCGAGAAAAAATACAAAAAAAAACTTTTACACCAGACTACTGATTATCATAGTGGATGATTCAAATAAAAAATAAAAACTATTTTATTCGCCCACAGGATGACTGGAAAAGAACTGGAGGGTACACCACTGATATATATACAGTGGCAGATCCAGTTCATTGTCCTAGGGAGAGTAATCTGACCAACAACAAAAAAATCTGATTTTTTTTTCTTTAGATTAACCACTTTTTTTTATTATTATTGTTTAGAATGTTTTTAGAAAAGTTTGCTAATAAATATATTGAATGTATCTGTATATCTTAAATATCTTGAGAATATCTTGAAAAAATCAAATGTTGAAAATAAATACTTAGTCTGTAATAAGGGGCGGATTTATATCCTTGAAGGCCCTTGGCAGAAAAAATTTTAACTAAACCCTAAACACTCCTAAATACCACAATTTTCTTTCCACGATAACCCATTTAAAAATTGAGCTCGCTAAAATCATGGTGTATAGGCTGCAGTCTTGTCTGCCTATAGGTAAATCTGGCCCTGTCTTTTATGTGCAATAAAAGACAAAATTATATCTTTAGTATATTCTTTTTTTATTATTAAAGACTTTATAAATTTAACAAACTACAATATAAAATTGAGCTTTCTAGTTTTCGAATATGCAAAACTAATAATAATCTCTATAGATATGTATCATAGGTAAGCTATTTAATTGTTCTTATCCTATATTGGATCTTAACCAAGTTTTAAGTCTTTTTAAAACCAAAAAACTCTGTTCTCCCGAAGCAACGCTAACAGGAAGGGTGCAAAGCAATTGCAAAATACATTTAGTTAAAGGGAAAACATTACCATCATATTGCTTGTATGCTTCCAGCGCACATTCAGGTAGGTCTTGTTGCTTTTTGATTGCGTCTTTCCATTTTAGCTCCCAAAATTCTAAAAAAAAATTCATTAATTGGACATTCTCATCAACAGTATTTATGTTGGGCAACCCTTTCATAAAACTCAGTATATTAGTTATGGGTGCTGTTAACTCTGTCATTGAGACTTTGGTATTTAACTCATTGGCTAAAGGACAAAGTGTTATTACAAATAAGGGCTCATATATTGCATTTTTTAATAATGCGGCCTTTGTTGAAGAATCTTGTTCATTCCACTAAGATACCAAATCAAGTGTTTCTAATATATTTATTTAACAAGATCTTAAACTTAATTATGCTGTTCAAGCCATCTTGTTTCACATAAGCTTGTAAGCATTTCCTTATTTATATATTTAAGAACATTACTTCGCTTTGGCATAGTTTCAAAGAATGATATTACTACTTTTGTTGTGCCACTTGTATTTCTTACAGCTTGCACAGACAAACTTTTGAAAATTGATAAGTTTAAAGCATGGTTTTTTATTGCGTTTGGTAGAATCATCTGTAATTTCGTGACTGCTCTGTTGTTTTCACCTGAAATAAGGCTGCATCCATCAGTACCTACACCAACACAATCCTTTAATTTGAAGCCAAATTTTTTCAGTATGTTTGCAACTGTGTTTGCTAGCAATTCTCCAGTTAATACAGATTCATAAGTAAAATCAGAATAATTTTTAGTATAGCAGTTTACAAAACCAATAAAATCTTCATGGATTTCACAGGTATTAAATTCTTCAATCTTAATACGACTTTCATTTGAGAACTATGACTGGTATTCGTTTCATCAAATATATCGCTATAAAATTTTCCTTTTAAAATTCTTGTTTTAATTAAGTCCTGAATTCGGTAAGCGCATAGTTCAATTATTTCATTTTGAATACTTTTACTTATGTATGTTGCTTTAGAATTACAGTTATATAAATAGTTTTTTAAAATATTATCCCCAGCTCTCACTCAAAAGCGAAGTAGTTCCAAAGATTGCCATCATTAATTACTGGAGAGTTTTGATTTATTTCAAAGATCTGCCTATTATCATGATGACCTCACAGAGCAATATTCTGTTGACCAAGAAATATTATAGATTCAATTATAGGCTTTAATTGTTCTTGATTTTCTTTAGCCTGTTTAAGTCTTCCTATGTTAACTAAATTACGTACATCTGTAGACGGACATTCATATGTTCTGATGAAATCTGATGCTACCTACATAGCAACTTTGTAGTACGCATTGCAATCATGTAATTGTAAGTCTCCATCCTTACCCAAAAGCTTGGAATAACTTTTAAGAGGTAAAGTAACTAGCTTGAGTAATTGCACTTGACTGTGTTTTTCCCCAACTTTAGCAAAAAGAAAGCAATACTTACAATTCCATAAAGGCATTCTAAAAACATCTACGGAAATTTATGTATATGTTTTCTCCGACAAAAAGCAATTAACATTCTTACTCTTCATTAATTGCACAGAATATGGATATTTGTAATTTGGACCAGGAAACCATTTGCATTTCAATATTCGGTATTTATCTTGTTCAGTTTTCGATGTTTATCTTACCCTGTTGGTCATTGTAGCTAATAAAAACAGTTTCATTTAAAATATTAAAAATTATTTTTCATTCATTTATTTAAAATAGTTATAAATACACTTTTTTTTTTCTAAATAAGAAACTAATTCATAAGAAATTGATTCAGTTACTGTTTTAAAAAAATATTATTTTTATCTTATTTAAATACAATTTGAAGTATATATATATTGAAGTAATATATATATATATATATATATATATATATATATATATATATATATATATATATATATATATATATATATATATATATATATATATATATATATATATATATATTGAAGTAATATAATATAAGTAATATAAATTGAAGTGTTCCAACTTCAATTGTTAAAAAATAAATACTTTTCTATTGAAACTTTAACTACCAAATATGGCATCTTGTATATAAAGTATACTACAAATTAAAATTGAATTTTAAAAAAAAAATTTACTATTAAAACCAAATACTATTTTTTTTTTTTTTTTTTTTTTTTATCAAAAGTTTTTAAAAACAGTTTAAAAAATTTTTCAAAATAGAATGATAGTAGTTTTATTATTTTTTATTGTTTTTTTAATTATATAATAGAATGAGTTAATGATGATAACTTAAAACTTCATCGTTTTTCATCGATATTGTAAAAATGTAAAAAATGCAGTCCATTTTTTTTGTAATATTATGAAATAGTTTTAGTTTAGCAAAAAAAAAAATCTAAATAGTTAGCTGCAGAATAATTTTTTGTATTTTGTTATTTCTTTTATAAATTTTTCAATAATATTTTAAAGTTTGACATTTCTTAGGTGGGGTGGTATACCACTGTATATATATATATATATATATATATATATATATATATATATATATATATATATATATATATATATATATATATATATATATATATATATATATATATATATATTAGGGCTGCACATATTAACGTGTTTTTATCGCAATAACGCACTAATTAATTAACGCCGACAATTAGTTTATCTCGGGTTAGCGTACTTTTTATTTTGAAAGTCTGAAAGTGAAAAATAAACTTTTTAATTTAAATTTAATAGTTTATTAAACTAATTGTTGACAGCTTGTTGCACAAGAATTTTTTCAAAATAGATCTGTGCAATCTTTAGTATAGAGAATTATTAAATTTAAATTAAAAAGTTATTCTCAACTTTTTAATATGGTAAAAAAAAATTTTTGCAAAAGTTTTTGCTAAATTTTATTTTTGACATTTTAGTCTTTACAATGAGTTTGTTATGAGTTTCAGTTGCTCATTTTTTTTAAAGCTTCACATTATATACTTAATTTTTTTTTGTCTAAAAAAGTTTTTGTTTTTCATTATATATTTTTACATATTTTACTTGAGATATACAATACTTGAGATTTCATTATTGAACTTTTCGTATTTCTGCACATAATCGCTATTAATCACAGAAATTCATGCGATTAAAAAATTTAATTGTTGCCCAGATATATATATATATATATATATATATATATATATATATATATATATATATATATATATATATATATTATAAGACTTTTAAAAACACCCATAACTACTTTTGGATTAACATTTGATGTAGGTTTTATTTATATATTAGTGATAGCTGACTTTTGATGGATTTTAAAGTTATAGTATGAGTTATTAGTGTTGGTTACAATTATATCCAAGAAGTTTAATTCCTTTTTATTGTTTTCTTTTTCTGAAGTATATTTTATTGCTGGATCTTGTTTATTTAATAACTCCAGAAATTTATTATGATTTTGTGTTGAGTCGAATCTTGCATGACTGTCATCTATATGCCTTCTGTAAGTCTTTGGTGAAAAATGACCAACCTTGGCAATAATAAGAGCTTTTGTTTCCAAATGCTGTAAAAACGCTTCGGCCACTATGACCATTAAACACAGTCCTATAGGTCGTGAATTCGATGTAGATCTTATCTCGTCTTTGTATAAAAGTATCATTGGCTAAGGCAGAGTTTTTTAAGGTTATTAATATCGTGGTTTAAAATATGGATATTTACACGAATTGCTCTGTCAATTGGAATGGAGGCGCATAACGCCACCACATCAAAAGAGACTTGAATTTCACTAGGATCAACCAAGATTTTGCTTTGTTGACAAACGAGGAGGAGTTTAATAATCTTGTTTTGCTTTTGTTTAAAGTTGGTTGTATAATTTTTAAAAGATATTCTGATGATCCATATGGTGGGGTACCTATAGTAGAAGCAACTGGCCGCATTGGATAATTCTTTTCTGGTTGGTGAGCTTTTATGACTCCATATAAATGTAGTGGGACACAGTCAGAAGGGTACATTTGAAAATAAGTCTTGTTATCTAACTTTTTCTGTTTTCATAATTTGCATAACAGTTTCTGGAATTTAGTCATAAGGGTTTGAGTCGGGTCATAGTTGATAGTAACTGAATGTTTAATTTCCTCTTCTAATTTATAAAATGCGTCCACTTCATTTATTAGTACAAATCCTGTTCCTTTATCAAATGGATAAACTGCTAAACCATTCATTTTTTTCTTCAAATTATTTAAAGTTCTTTTGTTAAATTGTCGGGTAATCTAGGTTTTATATTTTTAATAAGAATTTTACTCACATTTTGTCGAATCTTTTCTGCATCAGATTTTTTATTATCTTTTTCTAAACGTAAAGCAAAAGATTCGATTGGTGTTAAAATTTCCATATAAGGTAATTTTTTAAACGGCGGTGCAAAATTGCAAAATTTGGTCCAAGATTCAGGAGATTTGTTGTGGGGGTGTCTAACTGAGTTTGCGATAAATTTAAGATTCCATATTTAAATATATTGTTATTTAATCTGTTTGATTGTTTTTGTTTATTGTAAGTCATTTTATAAAGTTTTTCAATTTTATCCTTTAAATGTTTCTTTTTAATTTTGTAATGATGTTTTTTCGATTTTTCAGTAATATTTTCAATAATTTCCTAATGATTAGGTGTCAAAATTTTCTCTAAGTTATAACAAATATTTTTTATTAGGTTCTTACTTCTAAAAAATCTATATTTTGCTTTGTTTTGGGCATGTATCAATAACTTTCTTTGATATACTTTAGTAATATTTTCTGCTTTTTTCGATTTTACTGGTGATCTTACTTTAAATGATGGTAGAATTATGTAATTGGAAACGCAACTTTGAAAAATAATTAATTGGTTTTTCGATATTGCATTTCTAATTTTTTGTTCTTGAAGTTTTACTGTAAAATATATATATATATATATATATATATATATATATATATATATATATATATATATATATATATATATATATATATATATATATATATATATATATATATATATAAATATAAGATAGGTATTGAAGACAACTACAGTACAGAGAGAAATTATAAAGAAATACACTCCAACAATATATTTTTAAATTGAATTCTGTTGAGCAATAGAAAATATATATGTGTGTAAGTGTGTGTTATATATATATATACACGCAAATAGTTTTAAATGTATTGTACATAATAGATTCCTCTATGTTCTTAAAAGAACAAAATAATAAAAATTTCATAGAAATCTCTTACCAATTTTTTTATTTTACACGATTTTTCTTTAATGAAGGCTCTTCAGGAATTAATACTAAAATTAATAAACTTCAATTTATACTAAAAATTAAATTATATTTGTTTTGTTTCAGCTCTCAAAATTACCTGGGAAGATGTTTACCTTTGAAGCGTATGCTCTGTTTTACTTTTTTTTTTTTTTTAATTAAAAATCATGGTTAGTATCATTAAAATTTTAATGCTTTTTTTAAAGAGTTGATTGGTTTAAAAATTCAATGGCTCAAGAGCAACTTAACAAAACCTCCAGATATTTTAAAGGTTTTTTTAAATATACCTTAAAAGTTTGTTTTTGTTGTGTTTTAATTTATAGAGATGTGATTGCTTAAATGCTGAGATCTAAATATTATTTAGAAATTTTAAGCTTTTTCTTTATTATTTAATTTGGGTTTAATTTTGTTTGTTTTCAGCTACCATGATTGTTTTATTAAATGTTTTTTGCTACCATGATTGCTGCCATGATTCTTTTTTGCTACCATGATTGTTACCATGATTCTTTTTTAATGTTTTTAGTTACCATGATTTTTTTTTTTTATGTTTTCGGTTACCAAGGTTTTTTTGTGGATGTTTTTAGCTTATATTCTAACATTGTTTTATTAAATGCTTTCAATTGATTTTAATTTATTTATCAGTTGTTTTGTTTCAGTTCTCAATTTAAAAGTTGGTGCGCAGGTTATGCTCTTGAATAATTTAAGTGTTTCAAATGGATTAGTTAATGGAGCAAGGTAATTTTCTTTATATTTTGCTTTAAGTTTTATTTGTTTATGACATTTTTTTATATATTCAGCAGCTTTTGTAGAATATAGATGTTCTTTAGAATATTTTCAGAAAAGTTCACAAATAAATACATCACTTAGAACCTATAATAAAGAAGTAAAATGAAAAAAGAACATAAAAATAAAATACTTAAACAATAAAACTATTTAAAAGATCAAATTTATTTGAATTTTTGAAATGTAATATCAACATAAGTTTATTATGTTTTACCTCTTACCTGCCTTAATGCATAAAATATTATATTCTGTTCAAAGCAACTTAATTGTTTTCAATTACTTGATTTTTTCTTAATTTTTAAGAGGAGTTGTGACCAAATTTATGAGTCTAAAGGAATCCAAGGTTTGATTTTTTTTGGTTTGCTTAATATACTTTTATAAAAAAAAAAAATTTTCAAGTTAAATTTTATTTTTAATGTAAAATAATTCTATGCTAGTTTATATATATATATATATATATATATATATATATATATATATATATATATATATATATATATATATATATATATATATATATATATATATATATATATATATATATATATATATATGAATAACAAAATAAACAAAAAAAATTAAAATACCAAAAGTGGTACTACTTTTTAGCTAATAATGTTTTATTTATTTTTTATTTTTTTATAAGTTCTGTTATTTTTTTTATTGTTTGTTATGAGATGTTGTCTAAATAAATTCTTGCACTTGCAAGATGGTAAAAAAAAGATTTTTTATCAAATTTTATGTGTTATATAACCTCTTTTTTGTGTGTGTGTATTTATTTTATAATCATTTTAGTTGTTGCAAAACTATTAGTAATTTCATAAAAGTATATAAACTTCTTCTTTTGAACTTATTTACTTACTTACTTTGAAGTTACATTAATAAGATAATTCATTTTTTTGAGCATCAATAATCTCATTCAGTATCCCATTGCACAATGTTTTCCATCTAGCTGACAAAGTTTTTTTACAAATCTACTAATTTCTTCATTGCCTCTTTCAGTTGTTTAACAAAATGTTGTAAAATGTTACAGCATTTGTTAAACGATATTTTTACAACTGTTGGAAACCAAACATTAAATATGTCTCTTATTTTATAATTTAAAATTTTTTTTTTCAATTTTAAGCAACAATGAAAAACCTTTACGCATTACTACTTCCAACCATTTTTTTGATGAAGACTTTTATTTACCAAAAACATTATGTTGCATGTATCAATCAGCTCAACAGCCAGTATTAAAAGCCACTTTTAGTATGTGAAGTTGGTCACGCTTGGTTAATTTTGAAGCATTTTGGTTGGATTTTGTTTTCAAATATGTATCAGGATCCTTCAAAATTTTTTCAATCACCTTCCGACTTTGCTGTATATGTCTCAATATCTCAGATGTTGATACATTGGCAGCTTTGAATGCCTTGATCATAGCAACTTCTTCAGCATTTAACTTAGTTCCACGTCCTATAGTAGTCCTCTGTAACACATTTGATTAGTTCACATATAATGGCCCTTTGGTCTACCTTAATATATGTATCACTTACCTAGCATTAGCAATTCGTCTGTTGCAGTCAAATGTTAAATGACTGGTGTGTGCTATTCATTTGTCACCAGAAAAAATCATATGGTCTTCCATATTTTGACGCTGGAAAACATTTGGCTCCAAAAACGATGTTTTTTATTATTTCTCTGATTATGACTGTTTTAAAATATTTTAATGTTTAAAACAGTATAAAATGAATAAAATATATTTATAGTGTAAGCTGTTTGGTTGGCATGGACTGTACAATGACAAAAGAATAGTTTTCATATAAAAATATGTTTAAAAAAAAAGAATATTAAACGATTATACAAATGTTAATGGTTAAATGAAAGGAATATTAAAAACGTTTTTATTATTATTTTTTATTAGAATCCTAATGAAACCGGTTTAATAGAATTTGAAGAAAGTGAGTATCCAAGATATCCGGTGGTGAAGTAAGTAAGAATTGTGTTAAAGATATCTGGTGGTAAAGTAGGAATTGTGTAAAATGTTCAAGTGTTATTGTACCAGCTTTTTAATTAAATTTCTAATTATATAAAGGTTTGTAAACAATTTGGAATTACTTATCACCCCTGATCAAATCTCAACGGAAGTAGCTTGGGAAGTTATAAGTTATCGGAAACAATTACCTCTTGCTCTTGCATGGGCTGTCAGTGTTCATAAAGCACAGGTTAATATAATTTCTCTTTTTTTTTAGTTGCATTGGATAATTTATGTTAATTTAGTTTATTCTATCCTCATAATGTAGGGTATGACGCTTGAACGTGTTGAACTAAGTATTGCTAATGCTTTTGAACATGGTCAAGCTTATGTAGCATTGTCCCGAGTGACTAGTTTAAATGGTTTACTGCTCAGGTAAATTTTAGCTTTTATAGGCTGGGAGAATAAATATTAGCTTTTATAGACTAGGTTGATAAAAAAAAGTATATGAAAAAGAGTAAAAAAAGAGTAAGAAATGTTTGGCTTAATGCTCAACTTTATGTGAATAAAAAAGTAGCAAAAAGGTTGTTTTTTTAAAGTAGAAAAAAGTGTTCATATTACCCAGACCACTTGGTAATGAGAGCTTTTAATTAGTTCAAATAATTAACATTAAGTAAAAACTACAAACCTGACAGTTAGAACATATTTGTGGAATATTAACATATTTGTGGTTTGTTATTAACTAAACTTTTTATCAATAGATTAAGTTTTAAGCTACTTTATTGAAACAATACTTTATTGAAACAATACTTTGTTTTACACAAAAAATTTTATTTAATTTTATTAGCTCAAATCTTTAAACGATAAAAATACAAAGTTTTTGAATTTAAATTACAGAAAAATATTTAGTATTGGTAAAATATTAAACATTTTTACGTCTTACTTTTATTCAAAAAGCAATTGAAACTACTGCGATTTTAGGCTTTAAACTAGGTAAAAACACTCCTAACGGGCCAAGACGTGTTTAAGACGTCAAAAATGGTATCATTAAATACAGTCAAATAGAGAGCCTATATACTCAGAGAGCGGACATACGTGTGAGCGTTTTTGATTGGTTGTTCAATTTTTATGATTTTAGACGCCATCTTTTTGCCAAAAATACTAACTGCGATTAAAGTCTACTACTAAATTTGTATTAAATATTTGTAAAAGTATGCCTGGTTGTGCTGCAGTAGGCTGCCATAACAGGCCTGAGAAAGGATTTATTATGAAATGCTCCCCAAGAAATGAAAAACAACGGGCGATTTGGACTTCTAAAGTTAAATGACTTAACTGGATACCTACAAACACAAGCTTTTTATGTGAAGTAAGCATAAGAGTATACAGTTTTATGTAATTAATACTAGAAATGAGTTCTTTATACTTCCATACAAATACATTATATTCGTTCAATTTTTTTATTAAGGTACACTTTGATGCTGATCAAAACCAGAGAAGATGGATCAAGAAAACTCAAACATAATGCAATTCCTACTGTTTTTAAACATGTTAGAGCAAAATATAAGCGAAAAAATCCACTCGAACATTTTCCAATACCAAAAAAAAAGAAAATAAGTTGTATAGAAAGTGGAGAAGTTGTGGAAAATGTTTTAATTGAAGTAAATAACAATGAAGTATCTGAATCAGTTAGTACAACTGATAAAAGTTTACTTATACAAGATTTAAATGCGAAATTGGAGAGATTAGAAAAAAAAGTCATTAATCAAAAAAAAAAATTAACATTTTAAAATTGAAAGCAAGAATAAATGCTATTCAAAAAATTAGAGTTTTGAAAACAATATTTACAGAAGATCAAATTTTATCCTTAAGTAGAAAAAATATGAAGTTCATTAAATGGTCAAATGATACTATAAATGAAGCATTAGAACTCAAATTTACATGTGGTCAAAGTGGTTATGAAAATTTACTTCGTTTAAACTTACCATACCCATTATTACGTACCCTACGACGAAGATTAGAAAATCTAAAATTTTAAAGTGGCATTTTAACAGAAGTCTTTGAGTTTATGAAAACTAAGGTGAATGTCATGAAATTCCATGAAAAAGAATGTGTTTTAATTCTTGATGAAATGTCAATAACTGAAAGTGTTGACTATGACACATCTACAAGCTCTTACTATGGAGTTGTTACATTACCTGAACATTATGACCAAGCTAACCATGCTTTAGTTTTTATGCTTGGAGGAATATCTACAAGATGGAAACAAACTGTTGCATATTGTTATACTGGAAGTTCTGTTAATGGGGGTGTTTTAAAAAACATTGTCCTATTTGTAATAAAGTATACTGAAGGAATAGGATTAAAAGTTAATAGTGTTACTTCTGATATGGGTGCCATTAACCAGGCAATGTGGAAATCTTTTAATATTAGCTGTACTAAAAGTGGCAGTATTTCTAGTTTAATTAAACACCCATGTGACCCTACTCCTACAATTGATTTTTTAGCAGACGTGCCACATTTATTAAAGAATATAAGAACATCTCTTTTATGTAACAAACATTTTATAATAACAGCTAAAGAAAAATATAAACTTATATCTCCATTTATAGAATCAAAACACCTTAACAAGCTTGTAGGCTTTCAAGAAGGTATGGATTTGAAGTTTGCTTACAAGCTTACATCTGAACATCTTGATAAAAAACATTTCAACAAAATGAAAGTATCAAGAACAACATCTGTAATGAATCATGATGTAAGTTGTGGATTAAAATTTATTGCAAATGAAATAAAAGATGGTTCTATTCTCACAACTGCTTGGTTTATAGGAGTTGTTGATAAATGGTTTACATTAATGACTTCACGAAACCCAGGTATGGCTCTTAGCATGAAAAATAACAAAGTTTACAATGAAACAATAACTTTTTTAAATGAAGTCATAGAGATATTCCCTGGTTTAAAAATATTAGGCCAAACTGGAAAAATAAGGTGGAAACCTTTTCAATCTGGTGTTATATTATCAACAGCATTAGTTATTAACTTGCAAAATAAGTTTCTTCTAGAAAAAAAGTTTGATTTTCTAATGACATCACGATTTACGCAGGATTGCCTGGAGAATCTTTTTTCCCTGTTACATGCAAAACAAGTAATTCCTACTGCTTTTCAATTTAAAAATAACTTGAAACTTATTTGCGTTGCCCAATTCTTAAAAAAAATCATCAAAAGGCAGTTATGATATAGATGACCGTCAATTCTTATCTGGTTTTCTTGATATAGTTAATAGTAAGGTGCATAAGCCACAGAAAAGAGAGTGCATTGTGTTACCAAAAGATTGGGATAAGCCTCTAACTTAATCTCAAGTAATGCTGAGCAAAATTGTTTGTTTCATATTGCAGGTTATATAATTTCTAGAGTTAAAAAAAAGAGTTAATGCTGATTACACAACGTTTGTTACAGACAAAGAGCACAAAGCGGGTAGTTCATTTTTTGCTCATGAAATAACATTTGCATTCTTTTTACAAATGAAGTAAATATTTAGATCATTTGAGCCATACCTTAATTCCCAAAAGAATTGTAATGCTATGCTTTTAGAGAAAATTAATTCTGATGAACATATTAAAAGTCTAACTTTGTATCCTAGTTGTCATCAAATTAAATTGAAGCTAAAAAACAGGTTTATAACATTCAGACTTATAATATTTAGCCTTTATTATGTAAAAAGAATAAAAAGCGTTTATTATGTAAAAAGAAAAAAACTAAAAAATGTTCTTGTGAACTCGGCAGCTAGAGTATGACAATGCATGCATTGGCACTAAAGGTTTAGGTTCAACTAATTTATAAAATAAATTGTAAAGCTTTTCTCAAGTTACTTATTGATTACAACTACTTTTTTTCTGTGTTTTTTTTTAAAGGTATTTCCTAAGTAAATAAATAATTTTGTCGAAAAATAATTTTGAAAAAATAAAACATAAAAAGGTTTAATTTTTTTAAATATATTTTTGTTTAAAATATTATTGTGCTCATTTGTTGTTGTTTTTCTGTCAATTGTTTTTACTTGAATTCGTGAATGTCATACGCTAGTTTGGCAAAAACATGGCCGCCGTGCTTCTGTATTTTCCGTATGTCTGCTCTTTAAGTATATAGGCTCTTTACAGTCAAATATAAATGTTTTTGTGCATTGTTTTCTAAACAAAAATGGAACCGATTTCTAGCTAACATGTTTATAATGTTTTTTTTTTGTTGTTTTTTTTTTCATATGGCCTTTTATTTCAAGAAACAAAGAAACAAGTGGTTATTTTGTTTTTATAGATCGAGTGCATTGTTTTTTACACAATGTCAAATGATTTTTATGTTTTTTTGTTAAGGGTTAGTACACTTTGTGCACGATACTCTTGTGAAATTGATGTTGAGTTTGAGTATTACTTTCTTTTTCATGAAGGCTAATAAAGTACCTGCGCTCTTTTATAGAGACTTTGACTCCGCTAAAGTATCAGCACATCCAAACGTGATTGAGTATTACAAACAAGTAGATCCTCTGTTTGAAAGCTTTGCGGATGCTGGAGAAGAGGAGCTGAAGGGTTTTATTTCAAATAAAACAACTTTAGCACAAAAGTAACTTCTTCTTTTTTTAAGGATTAGTAATATATTTAAAAAACAGTATAAATTCTCTATTTTATATTTTGATAACTAGAGTTGAACTTATCCATGGTAATCAACCGGATAATCACTGTATTCCGTCGGCTATTAGTAAATTGAATAACGGCTTAAACGATTTGAAGACACACACTGAAGCAGATTCTCCTACTGCACTTGTTTTAAAAATGGCCGAAGAAAAAATATCACATTGTAGAAAAACACTTAGCGAAATCGCCGATACTCTTAGAGGAGGCAGCTTAACGGGTGAGAAGGTAAAGTCAGAAGTTTCTAAGGTACAAGTTTTTAAGTGTAGCGAAAATTTTGACATAAAAACATTATCAAATGAATGTAATCCGATAGTCATAGATTCCGATGATGATCTGAACAACACACTTTTCGATGATACTAATTTTGACAATGATATTATAAACGCACCTTCTATATCTTATACAACGTACAATAGTTTATCAAAAACTTACTTAAAAAATAAAAGCAAAGACTTGTTGACAGCTCATCCACCCGTTGAATCGCAAAACAAAAGAACTCGAAAGTCAGAAAATAGTTCATTCTGTCAAACCATTACAGCCTTAGAACAGTCAAACTCAGACGAATATTTGACTAACATTGAATACAAGAATTATACCAAAAATATGCTTACATTAAAAAAATGTCAAATAAAAGAAAATTATAGAAACGCCGTTTTAAAACGTTTGAACTCGATTGATAAATTTAAATGACTTATTTTTATTTTTAATATATATTTTTTTGTTGTTGTTGCAAAAATTGACACAAAAGTCTTCATTTAGAATTGGTTTATCTAAGTAGAGTAAATTAATTGATAAGTGAGTTCAACTTAACGCTACGCTACTTAGTTAACTCACTGGTCTTAAAGTAATAACTGGATAACGTATTCTATTGTTGTTGTGTTTTTTTTTTTTTTTTACTTTTTTTTTGTGCGAAACAAACTTGAATACATTTTCAAGATCGTGACGGCAAAAAATAAAAAAAACATAGTTTGAACAAATGTCAAATAAAAGAACAGGAATGCGAAGTTGGAGTCCAGGAGTCCCTCTTTTTACCCGGAATCCCGCCCGGCATAAAAATTGTTGGGGCTCCATGATTTTTTTAATTTTATATAAGCATATAAACTTTTCTAATTAGTCCTTATTAACTTTTGTAGTTTTATTAATTTCAATTTGTTTAGATAACATTAACTTAACTTTAAACCAGTAGAAGCACTAACGTATTGAATAACGCTGCGTATGGCAAGCCTTCCGGTATATATATTATTAACAAATGTGCAGCGTGTTTATGCCATATATCTCCCGTAGCAGATATTGCTTTTATTGAATATAAGAGGCAAATCACAGTATATGCGGTATACAAAACTTTTAATATACACTGATAGTTAGATACCGAATTATGTTTAGGCTTGGGTTGTCATGTCTCGGCTTTTTCGTAAGAGAACGCGATAAAAATTTTGTTTTAGCGCTTTGCTTTCTCACGTATAAACTGGGAAACCAAATTTACGTTGGGCACAAATATATACACTTTTAAATCTTTTGCAGCCGTGGTGCAGTGGTTAGAGTTCTGGCTGAAAATCAAGAGTTCCGAGGTTCGACACCTACGCTGAAGCTAAGGTAAAAGAAAGTTTTTTTCTGACGTGTTTTCTAACTATATTGTTTAAACTATTAAATATGTTTTTACTGATAAAAAAAAAGTTATATATTGTTTAAACTATTACCCAGCCTGCATTTGGCTCTAAAGACTAATGAACGTTCAAAAGACGTTTTTTTAGAACTGAATGCTGGCTGGTTAGATATGGTTTTTACTGATGAAAAAGTTTTGAAATATTTTTTTTTTAACCCTTTCTTTTCTAATGTTCTCATTTGGCAACACTAACTTTAAATTCAAAAATCAAACCCTGTTTTATCCTTTTTATAATTTTAAGTAATGCTTAAGTTTTGCTACTTCCTACTAAATAGTAACATGAGCAATTTAAAAATAAACGCGCCGATTCGCAATTGTTTTTCGAAAATATTGAATGTCATTGAAAATTTTTTTTTATTTATTTCATAAATCGGGAAAGAAAGAGTTAAACACATTTTACAAGTGTAGCAATTGAATCTATTAAATGTCTGGACACGACGTCAGAATAAAATCAGTAATATTTTTTGAGTCGCTATTACTTATCATTTAAATTAAAACGCATTATGACATTTTGGTTTAAATACGCGTTTAGTTTACAAGTTAGTATAATTTAGGGTTGTTTTGCCAATAAACAAAAATTTCGCATTTTTATCTTTCTTTTCTAATTAAAATTGCTATTTTAATTAGGAAGTTGCACATGCAAAAATTCACCTTCCGTAACGCATTAAACGAAAAATATAAATAATAATATTTCCGTAATACAGCAATTCCATGACACGCGTTAAAACGTTTTTAATCGAGAAAACAAAAGCTTGCGGTATTTAGATTTTAAAATAAAAAATAAATTTTATCATAATATTGAAATAGCCTAACTGTATTATAAAAACTAAATTTTTCATAATTTTATTTTATATTTTTACAGATATAGCTTAAAATATGCGCGTCACAACGTGACGTCGATTTGGCACGTAGATTTGGAAAAAGCTTTTGACACTGTAGATCACTCAATACTTCAAACAAAATTGGAGTATTATGGAATCAGAGGCATCCCACTTAAATGGTTTAGTTCTTATCTTAACAATAGAAAACAGTTTGTTTTCATTAATGGGACTAATTCTGTCATAAAAAAGTGCTCAAATGGTGTCCCTCAAGGTTCAGTTTTAGGACCACTTCTCTTTCTTATTTTTATTAATGACTTAAATACTTCTTTTAAATTTGCAACTGATTACCACTTTGCGGACGATACTAACATGCTACTGATTAAAAAATTGCTAAAAAAAATCAACAAATATATTAATCATGATCTCTCAAATCTTGTTCAATGGCTTCGATCTAATAAACTTTCTCTTAACTGTAATAAAACTGAACTCATCATCTTTAAATCCAGTCTGACACCTATTAAAAAGCACTTAAATTTTAGACTAAGCGGACAGAAAATTTATCCTGTGAGATTTATCAAATATCTTGGTATTAAAATTGATTCCAATCTTTCCTTCAAAGACCATCTAAATGACTTGGCAATAAAACTCAGAAGATCTAATGAAATGTTGGCTCCACCATTATCAGGGTTGATTTAAATCACATCGATTTAAATCAGTGATTTAAATCAAGATTTAAATCAAAAGATTTTTTTGGATGACTAATGATTTAAATCAAGTTTTTCTTTTATGTTTGATTTTTGAATAATAAAAATTTATTTAAAAACTATTTTTGTCATATTTTAAAAAAAAACTAATTAAATGTAACAGAACTATGTATTTATAGAAATAATGACTCAAAGTATACAATAAAAATAAATAAAACAGGTAATGCTACAGTGCACAAAACAAATTAATAAACATAATTATCAATTAAAACTAAAAAAATTTTATCCTGTGTGCAGCATTAAAATTAATCATCAACATCAAATTGAATAATTTTCTGCTGATTAATTGCCTTGAATAGAAACACAAGCTTAGCAGCTTTTTCTGTACCCAATCTATTTCTCAGTTTTGAATGTACCAAGCCGTAAGAGGAGAACACACGTTCAACTCCTGCAGATGAAGCTACCGCAGTCATCAATTGCAAAATTGTATTTAATGTTTTACTTTCAATGTTGTCGCGGTGTGATCTCCACCACTGAACAGACGATAATTCTGTTAAAACCTCTAATCTAAATTCAAATTCCAGGAATGGGTATGACTTTCCTCTAAATTTCATAACTGTAGGAATAATATGTGGGTATTGTAGATTGGCATATTCCAAAGCAGTATTTTTTTTAATTTCATTCAATTTTCTACCTTGGTAATGAGGGTGAAGAAGATTAGCCAGAAAATGGGATGGTGTCACTGCCTTGTCGTATCTTTTTTTGAATTTATTTTGGATAACTTTCTCACTTTTACACAAAAGTTTGTTTTCTAGATTTTTCCATACTTCCACTACATCTGCAATTTTGCATTTGTCACTTTGTGCTTTATCAAGTGCAAAAGCAATAGGTTCTAAGCGAGCAAGTAGATCTTCTGCAGATATCTTAATGACTAAGTTAGAGACATTTTGTTGCACTGTAGTGTCAATTATGGCCCGATTAGACTCACAGATTTTTAGCAGAGTTGACCAATTTGCAATATACAGTTTTAGACAGTCACACATGGTATTCCAGCGAGTATCTTGAGGCAATACAAGTTTTTGTCCACCAGCTTTTCTATATTCTGCCAAAGCAAAATGGTGGTTCCTAAAATATTTGACAATATTTACTATATGATCTTTAACATTGTCAATTTCTAGGTCATGTGCTAAAAAATTCATTAAATGTGCAGAGCAACCATATGTAACTACATCAATATCTGATCGAGATTCAATATTATGCCTCATTTTTGATACATTAGCTGCATTGTCAGTCGCAATACTTCCCACACGACACCCAAATTCAAGCTCTATATTTTTAATTGATGAAACTGCTAGTTCTTCAAGATATTCAGAAGTGTGCGGGCTTCCAGATGTGTCAATTGTGTCAGCTAAATAGACATCACTTGTTTCAGTTGTAACTGAAACACAAATTATAGGCTCCTTATGAACGTTTGACCAACCATCCAGTGCTATATTTACAATCTCTCCATTTAGAGCGTTTTTAACGTTACCCTTTTCTTTAGTTTATTGATGTCAAAATTTTGGTTGTACTTCTGTGGTGAATTTAATGTCCAGGATATAGTCTTTTTTTTTTCTATCCATTTTTTTTATTAAATTTATTCATTTATCTATGCACCTGCAAATTTTCGTTGAAAAATACTTTTTAGCAGTCACCTTATTTCTTGCTGCACTTTTGTTACCTAATTTACATTTTACCTGATGTTGGCGCGGGAGACAGAGGGTCCATTGATTGTTTTTATTTATATTTATTTTACATATATAGTATTCATATTAGCAATATTTGACTTATGTCATAAATTGGTATTGTAAACCTAGATCTTTTAGAATAAAAATATAGTTAAAAAATTTGTTCATTTAAATAAAATTACTTTAATAAAACGATTTTTAGTAAATATTAAAATAAGATTTGGATTTTATATTTGATTTAGAAATAAAATGGAGGAAGAAAATAAAGGTTTCATCTAGTATTTCATATCATATTCATAACAAGAATTTGATGTGAATTAAATTATTGATGATTCATATCTAATTTGAAGACTGAACGTTGTTTTTATTTAATAAGAAATATCTTTATGGATAAGTTGTTTCGATATAAATTTATTAAACTGTTTTTAAATTATCTGGCCACTATCTAAATCTTTATGTATAACTTAAATATTTCTTTCACTGTTTTAGATGCCCAAAGTTGTAGTGCAGCCGACAACAATGTTGTTGGCTGCACTACAACTTTGGGGATCTAAAACAGTGAAAGAAATATTTTTTTATAACTAACTGATGTTGTCAACATCAGTTAGTTACTTTCTGTATTCATTAGCTTTGTAGTTATTAAATAGATGATATTATAATATATGTTATATATATATATATATATATATATATATATATATATATATATATATATATATATATATATATATATATATATATATATATATATATATATATATATATATATATATATATATATATATATATATATGTATATGTATATGTATATATATATATATATATATATATATATATATATATATATATATATATATATATATATATATATATATATATATATATATATATATATATATATATATATATATATGTATATGTATATATATATATATATATATATATATATATATATATATATATATAT